GTATGTTTCCAGCGTCTGGATTGGGGCCCAACATCAAAGATAGACCAGCAACAAATATTTTTGAGGGCCCCTTTTCCAGCTCCCCAGATGGTGTCCCATCCTGTGTCTTGTTACTTGAATCTGGAGAAGCACCCCTGTCAATAAGAGCCTGGTAGTGGGCACTTAAATACTGGCTCAAGATTAGAGTTTTTAGTTTAGGATCCGGTTTAATTCCTCAGTTAGCTCAGGATGAGTACATAAGCAGTTGGTTTCAGATCAGTTCTAAGAAAGCCTCCTCTATTTGCCTTTCTGCATCCCTCCTAACTCATCTGGGTTTTGACATAGCTCTCAAATCAATCAAACAAACAGAGACTGTGGGACATTGCCTTCTGTGAGCTGCGCTCTCACTCTTATGTATCTTGCTCCCCTTGTGCCTTGTCCATACATTATGTTGGGTCTTTCCACGCAGCAAACTATCTAAAGAACTTGACTGTGGCTAAATACCGTTGCCTATTTTCCAAAGCAAGGTGCAATGTGCTCCCGTTGGAATTGCTCCATGGGAGATTTGCAGGTACCCCATATAATGAAAGACTCTGCCCATGAAACAAACAGTAAATAGATTGAATCTACCACATTCTACTGTCATGCAGTTTCTATGAACCGACCTGAGCACACATAATCTGCTCCCTACTAAGAAACTTACCAGCAACTCCAATGAAATTTTATGTGAAGTTTCTACTTACTGACAACCTTCCTCTTTTGACCTTGGAGGTTGCCAAGTTTCTCTCTGAGGCAGGCAGGATTAGACAATTCCCAATTTTAGCCACAGGCTGAAACATGTCAGCACTTCTTATAGTCTTTTACCTATGTTTTTAGCCAACATGTATTTTAAGCAGTTTTTAACTGTTGTAAGGCTTACCCATTTTTGTATTTAATCAACTGGATATTCTTAATCTCATTACCTGCATACTTTATACACCTACTGTGCAACAAGGGTCTTTGGACCATAATAAAATGTTGCTGTTGTTGATCTCTAAAAATAGTCATAGACACAACATCTCATTTGGTTGAAATGTCTGAATGTCATGTTTTGCTGAACAGATGATGGGCAGATCAGGCATCTCAAGGTATGGGTGAGAAGGTGCTCCTGGCTGCTACCGACACCTGGAGTTCCAGGGTCAACTATGAGTCCAGAATCGCCCCGAAACTGTGCACCTTTGTCTTCAAGGGGAGTGTGACCCCGCCCAACACAGGCTGTAATCCCAAACCCCGATCTGCCTTCTGACTGGAAACTGTCCAGAGGAAGGATCAAGGGTCTGGAGAACAACCCCTGTGAGGAGTGGATTAAAGAGCTGGGCATGTTTAGCCTGAAGAAGAGAAGGCTGAGAGGAGACATAATGGCCATGTATAAATATGTGAGGGGAAATCATGGAGAGGAGGGAGCAAGCTTGTTTTCTGCTGCCCTGGAGACGCAATGGAACTATGGCTTCAAATGTGAAAGAGTGTCATAAGGAAGAGGGACCAGGCTTCTTTTCTGTTGCCCCGGAAACTAGGATTCAGTGGAGTCATGGGTTCAAATGACAAACTAGGAGATTTCAATGAACATAAGGGAGAACTTCCTGACTGTAAGAAGAGCTGTTCAGCAGTGGAACTCTCTGCCTCAGAGTCTGGTGGAAGCTCCCTCCTTGGAAGCTTTTAAACAGACGCTGAATGGTTATCTGTCAAGGGGACTTTGATGGTGGTTTTCCTGCAGGGCAGAAGGGGGTTGGACTAGATGGCCCACATGGTCTCTTCTAACTCTATGATTCTAGTCATAGTAGAGGTATACCCTACTTTTTCTCTGCCAGAGGAGACTCCAGGTGGCTAATGTTAAAAAATGATCACAATGTGTGAATTAAAATGTTAACACATATAAACATAAACTAGAATTAAAAGTTGATTTTTTTATAAATGCATAGTTAAAACCAATAAAACCATTAAATAAATGTTAAACTACATGAAACACTATGAGTTGGTCTTAAAAACTTTCGTCTTTAAACGCTGGTCTGAAACGAAAGGTTTTAGCCTAGGAATGGGCCAACCTGCTGTTAGGAATTGTGGGAGTTGTAGTCCAAAATACTTGGAGGGACTGCCTGTTAGCCAGTCACTGGAACAACAGAAGGGAGAGAGCCATTCTGACTTCCCTAGGCAGGGAGTTCCAGAATCAAAGGGCAGTCACCAAAAAAACCATCTCTTGCGTTCCTTCCTACCAACTGTGCTTGTGATGGTGTTGAGACCAAGAGAAGGTCCTCTTCTGAGGAAGTCAAGGCCAAGGCACATTCAAGCCAAGAAATATGATCTGCCAAATAGCCTGGATCTGAACTGAAGAGAACCAAAGAGTAGCTCCAGGGAATATTACTCTGGACTCTTTCTGAGCCTTCCTCTTCTCTGTAAGACCATATCTGTGATTTTCAAAAACAGTACTGTTCCATTATCTGGGCGGAGGCCACTAGGGACCACTGGAGAGAGATTAGGCAAGCCCCCTCCTTAGCAGACTTCAAGAAAAATCTGAAAACCTGGCTTTTCAGATGTGCCTTTGGAGAGTTGCCCATCTATAGTGTTGGGTTTAGAAAAGGCAGAGGAACGAGAGACCAGATTGCCAATATCCGCTGGATAATGGAGAAAGGCAGGGAGTTTTCTGCTTCATTGACTATTCTAAAGCCTTTGACTGTGTGGATCATAATAAATTGTGGCAAGTTCTTAGTGGGATGGGCATCCCAAGCCACCTTGTCTCTCTCCTGAGGAATCTGTACAAGGACCAAGTAGCAACAGTCAGAACTGACCACGGAACAACAGACTGGTTCAAGATTGGGAAAGGCGTACGGCAAAGCTGCATCCTCTCACCCAACCTTTTTAACTTGTATGCAGAACACATCATGCGATGTGCGGGGCTTGATGAATGCAAAGCTGGGGTGAAAATTGCTGGAAGAAACATTAACAACCTCAGATATGCAGATGACACCACTCTGATGGCCGAAAGCGAGGAGGAGCTGAGGAGCCTTCTAATCAAGGTGAAAGAAGAAAGCGCAAAAGCTGGGTTGCAGCTAAACGTCAAAAAAAACCAAGATTATGGCAACAAGAATGTGTGACAACTGGAAAATAGAGGGAGAAAATGTGGAGGCCGTGACAGACTTTGTATTTCTAGGTGCAAAGATTACTGCAGATGCAGACTGTGGCCAGGAAATCAGAAGACGCTTACTTCTTGGGAGGAGAGCAATGTCCAGTCTCGATAAAATAGTGAAGAGTAGAGACATCAGACTGGCAACAAAGATCTGCCTAGTCAAAGCCATGGTATTCCCTGTAGTCACCTACGGATGTGAGAGCTGGACCTTAGGGAAGGCTGAGCGAAGGAAGATAGATGCTTTTGAGCTGTGGTGTTGGAGGAAAGTTCTGAGAGTGCCTTGGACTGCGAGAAGATCCAACCAGTCCATCCTCCAGGAAATAAAGCCCGGCTGCTCACTGGAGGGAAGGATACTAGAGACAAAGTTGAAGTACTTTGGCCACATCATGAGGAGACAGGAAAGCCTAGAGAAGACAATGATGGTGGGGAAAGTGGAAGGCAAAAGGAAGAGGGGCCGACCAAGGGCAAGATGGATGGATGGCATCCTTGAAGTGACTGGACTGACCTTGAAGGAGCTGGGGGTGGTGACACGGCCGACAGGGAGCTCTGGCGTGGGCTGGTCCATGAGGTCACGAAGAGTCGGAGACGACTGAACGAATGAACAACAACAATCTATAGTGTTGCCCCTATGACACACTTTACCCCATTCTAAACTGAAAGCCTTGCCCCACTGTTTCATTTTCTTGGGCCCCCTCAGCTACATATTTCCTATTCCTACCTCACCCAGGGTTTTATTATTTTATCTTGTCCATTTGGCCTGCCCATCCTGTTCGATTTTATATTGTGTGAATTTGCTTTATTATTTCTTTCTGTTATTGCAATTTATTTTCTGATGCATTTTGTTTTTTTTATTCTGTATTTTACTGTGCCGTATTGTATTTTTAAAAGGGCTTGGCCTCATGTTAGCTGCCCCGAGTCCCCATTGGGGAGATGGTGGCGGGGTATAAATAAAGATGGTTATTATTATTATTATTATTATTATTATTATTATTATTATTATTATTGGGAGGGGAGGACCTTTACCTTTACCCTCCCCGCTTCCATTATCATAAACGAGGGTTGCTTACACAAAGGGAACATGGGTGGTGGTGGTGGGAATAACAGGAAAACAAGGGGAAATGTTCAACCCACTCACTCCATAAAATGGACCATTCTTCTCTCTCCAGCAACCTCTACTGGCCTCCACCCAGATAATGGAACAGTACTGAAAAAGTAAGTAAAGCTGCCATGATTTGGATTCCTGAGTTAGGTTATGGATCATCCTCCTCTGAACTCAGTTTTATTTTGTTCTGTTCTCCTTGACTCCCTGTTGCCAAAAAATTAATAATCACCCACTCTTCTTCTAAGACTAGTAGTGGTAATAAAAACAACAAAACCCATAAGAAACCTGCTATTTTTAAATGCCTGATCTGCGGCGTACAATGAGCCCATGGTCTTATTTACCCAACCCAACGGCTCCTGTCCCAATACCCTCGAGGTCTCAGACTTGGCTGGGACACTGGGCTGACACATTGCAGGGTGTTGACTCAGTGCGGCAGACCCCAGGCCAGATTAAAGCTCCTGATTGGCAGGTACACTCCTTTCTTCAGCTTGATATGACTGGCTTCCCTGTTCAGATCAAAAATTCTTCACATTCCAGTCTCTTGCTGGTCACTTTTTACTACTTCCCACTTCCTTGTCCCGCAATGAAAGTGTTGTCCCAAATCCAGGCAATGGGAAAGGCCAAGGGACCTTTCCTTGTCAATATTCGTCTTTCTGTGCTTTCATCCAATCTCCTCCCTCCGAACTCCACCCCACTGTTCACCCCTGTTATAGGTTGGCCTCTTGCTTTTCTAAGGAGTGACCCATTAATACCCCCAAGGCCAAGGCCAGAGCGTACCACTCCACACGGCGGCGGCACCTGTATCCAGCAACCATGGCAGTGATTTTCTCTGCATTGCTGCTCTCTTTGTTGCTTCTTGTTCAGGAACAGGGAGTGAAGGGGGTCCCTCCACAGCAGAGGGGTAAGTAATGTAATATCTTTGCCTTTGCTGTCCATTTGAGCCCGCATGCTAGGATGACAGGGCAAAGAAAATAGGAGAGAATTTGGGGGGGGGGGTGTAAATTGTGGGGGCAAGACCAAGGAACAGCAGTTGAGATCAAGATGTACATCCATACTAATATCTCACAGAGCAGCACTTTTCTCAGGTGTTCTGGCATACAGCATATACATCTTGTTCTCTTAGCTCTCCTGCTTCAGCATCTGAGACAAGGGCTTCATTCTTGAACAGCTCCTGTAACCTTTGCTTTGGAATGGATTCGGTGTCTCAAAGGAATAATATATTTGTAGCCATCTATTTTGCTGATACTCCTTTTTAGTCAGCACTTTCCTCTAGATCACTATTAGACTCATTTCAGATTTAAACTGGGGACTTTTCTCGCTTGAAGACCTCACTCAAATTGTACATACAAACTAGAATTCAATGAACCGAAACCCTTTTTAACTGCACCTTTCATCTCAATTAAACTTACTGAGATTCCTATGTTTGATCTGACTTTCCGAGAACAACAATAAGCTCTAAGTATCATAGCAATTTTCCCAACGGTCTCTGCAGTTTTGACACTTGCGGTTACCTATATTTTCACTCAAAGTAACAAATGGAAATAACATTTAGTGAAAAGGTTTCAAGGCGTAATCAAGGAATGAACGAATCAGGAAGACTGTGTGTCTGTCATACATAAAGCGAACAAGTGAAGCTATATAAATAGCCGAGGTGGCCTTCCTTCCTTCCTTTTTCTTTCCCATTGTTTGATTTTCCAACAACTCATCAGATGATGCCAAGATGAAGCAAGATGTTCTTCTTTGGTTGGGCCACCTGATAAAGGCATCAGTATGATATAGATTGAGTTAATCTGTACAATTAATTGCATCAATACAAATTCTTTGGTTGTTCAGAAAAGAGAAGGGACACGTGAAATGTAGGTTCGAGCAAGAAATTGCACAATTTGTCAGTTTTGCTATTCCTTGCATTAAAAAAATTTAATGTTGAACAGGTCCTGGGCCCAGTCCTATTCAACATCTTTATTAATGACTTAGATGAAGGGTCAGAAGGCATGAGTTTATTTAAAGCAATACAAGTATGTGCTTCCTTAAAGGCTCCAGAAAATTATATTGTTGTTTCTAAACACATATTGAGAAGACATTGGCTACTGTTGGTGATTGTGTCCAGTATACAGAAGAAGTTAAAGGCCATTTCTGGGCAACGTAATTTAAGGGAGATGTTGACTCTAAGCTGGAATGTGTCCAGAGGAGGGTGACTCAAAGGATCAAGGGTCTGGAGAACATGCCCTCTGAGGAGCGGCTTCAAGAGCTGGGCATGTTTAGCCTACAGAAGAGAATCATAGAATCATAGAATCAAAGAGTTGGAAGAGACCTCATGGGCCATCCAGTCCAACCCCCTGCCAAGAAGCAGGAATATTGCATTCAAATCACCCCTGACAGATGGTCATCCAGCCTCTGTTTAAAAGCTTCCAAAGAAGGAGCCTCCACCACACTCCGGGGCAGAGAGTTCCACTGCTGAACGGCTCTCACAGTCAGGAAGTTCTTCCTCATGTTCAGATGGAATCTCCTCTCTTGTAGTTTGAAGCCATTGTTCCGCGTCCTAGTCTCCAAGGAAGCAGAAAACAAGCTTGCTCCCTCCTCCCTGTGGCTTCCTCTCACATATTTATACATGGCTATCACATCTCCTCTCAGCCTTCTCTTCTTCAGGCTAAACATGCCCAGCTCCTTAAGCCGCTCTTCATAGGGCTTGTTCTCCAGACCCTTGATCATTTTAGTCGCCCTCCTCTGGACACATTCCAGCTTGTCAATATCTCTCTTGAATTGTGGTGCCCAGAATTGGACACAATATTCCAGTTGTGGTCTAACCAAAGCGGAATAGAGGGGTAGCATTACTTCCCTAGATCTAGACACTATGCTCCTATTGATGCAGGCCAAAATCCCATTGGCTTTTTTTTTGCCGCCACATCACATTGTTGGCTCATGTTTAACTTGTTGTCCACGAGGACTCCAAGATCTTTTTCACACGTACTGCTCTCGAGCCAGGCATGTCCCCCATTCTGTATCTTTGCATTTCTTTTTTCTGCCTAAGTGGAGTATCTTGCATTTGTCACTGTTGAACTTCATTTTGTTAGTTTTGGCCCATCTCTCTAATCTGTCAAGATTGTTTTGAATCCTGCTCCTGTCCTCTGGAGTATTGGCTATCCCTCCCAATTTGCTGTCATCTGCAAACTTGATGATCCTGCCTTCTAACCCTTCATCTAAGTCATTAATAAAGATGTTGAAGAGGAGGTTCAGAGGAGATATGATGAGGGCAGTTTTCTGCTGCCCTGGAGACTAAGACGCAATGGAATCATGGCTTCAAACTACACAAAAGGATGGAGATTCCACCTGAACATGAGGAAGAGCTTCCTGGCTGTGTGAGAGAGCTGCTCAACTGTGGAACTCTCTCTCATACAGTCAGAAAGTTGAGTGAGAGGCTCCTTCTTTGGAAGCTTTGAAGCAGAGGCTGGATGGCCATCTGTCGAGGGTGCTTTGAATGCTATTTTCCTGCTTCTTGGCAGAATGGGGTTGGACTGGATGGCCCACCAAGTCTCTTCCAACTGTAGGATTCTATGATAATGTCAGTTTCTTCCTATCCTTTATATGACTACATTTACAAAATTCGCTTGATCCTTCAAAAAGATAACGAAATCAAAGTATTATTGCCTCTATGGTGAGAATTATATCGAATGATCCTAATGTACAATGATAAAAATATGGAGCCATTCAGGAATAAAGCTGGTCAGCCTAATCAGCGTGCATATGATTTAACACATAGCGATTCAAACCCAGACTTGAGTCGGAGGAGACCCATCTCTTCATTTCAGTTTCCCCCCATAATCAGTTTTTTTAAAAAGAAAGAAAATAAACTGTTTCCACTTCAAATATGAAGAAATTTGCACACTTTGGAGAAATATTTTTAAAACAATGTTCCCATATCTCTAGTTTTATTTCCCATAGAAGAACTCCCCTTCTCTCAGGTCCTTCTATTAGACCTCTATATCATATCTTCTTTTTAGTGGCTACTAGGCTTCCAGTCTTGATTTTCAGAATCAGTATACCACTGATACCGCTAGCAACTGACCCATCTGGGTGAGAACAGTAGTAGACACCTTTAGGTCCTGCTTTTCTAGAGGTACTTGGTTGGCCACAGAATCAGGAACAAAAAACATTGCCTTAAGCTGTATCAGATAATTGGCTAATTTAGCCCACATGGGAGCATTTAGTACATATGAGAGATGGAAAATGTGTCCAAATGTTCATTTCCTATCAGCCGTTGCCATTGTTCACCATGGATATTTTGACTAGATTCATGGAAGGCATAGTCCAATGACATCTGGAGGTTCATATATTTCCCATCCCTGTCACCCCTGGTTGTTTTCCGGTTTTTACGAATCATAGAATCATAGAATCATAGAATCAAAGAGTTGGAAGAGACCTCATGGGCCATCCAGTCCAACCCCCTGCCAAGAAGCAGGAATATTGCGTTCAAATCACCCCTGACAAATGGCCATCCAGCCTCTGCTTAAAAGCTTCCAAAGAAGGAGCCTCCACCACACTCCGGGGCAGAGAGTTCCACTGCTGAACGGCTCTCACAGTCAGGAAGTTCTTCCTCATGTTCAGATGGAATCTCCTCTCTTGTAGTTTGAAACCATTGTTCCGCGTCCTAGTCTCCAAGGAAGCAGAAAACAAGCTTGCTCCCTCCTCCCTGTGGCTTCCTCTCACATATTTATACATGGCTATCATATCTCCTCTCAGCCTTCTCTTCTTCAGGCTAAACATGCCCAGTTCCCTAAGCCGCTCCTCATAGGGCTTGTTCTCCAGACCCTTGATCATTTTAGTCGCCCTCCTCTGGACACAAATCTGTCCTTAGTAATGCCAAAGACTGGAAACACCTTCTGTAAGCTATGGTCTCCTCCACTGACCCACAGTTGGCCAAGCGAGTACATACTTGCTATTTGCAAAGCAGGGGGAAAGTATTAGGAAGAAACTACTGAATAGCTCCCTGCGCAACAATAATTAAGGGACACGTGTGCACCAATATGACTCAAGTCTGTCTTGGTGTTCTGGAATTGATTATAAAATACAGTGAAATCGTAACTTACAAGTGAACAAACTTATTAGGTTTTTGAGATATGAACCATTGCTTGGTCAACTTTTTGCTTTGACATGCGAGCTGAGATTTGAGTTACGAGTAAGCTCAAGAGCAGGGCTTTAAGGCAGCAGCCAGGAAAGCTCCTTGCTCTTGTCTTTATTGCTGCTATTTCTGCAATCCCAGGGCTTTGGGGCATTGTAGGAAAGCTCAGGGGACCGAAGTCTATCATAAGAAAACTTCTATCCTGATTAAAATAGGCAAGTTACACAAATACCTGTTGTTCTAAATGATCATTGCAGAATAATTTTACTGAAGTTTTCCACTCATAGCAGGAAACGTGAAGTCTGATCTTGAAGGAAAATACATGTTCTACACTTAACAAATCCAGTTTATTTCTTTTTAAAAAAATTATCGTTATTGAATTTTTCTACAAGTAAAATTTGGGAAAAGAGAGGGGGAAGGAAAAATGAAGGGGGTGAGTGGGAAGTGGAAGGAAGAAATAAAGAAATAAAGAAGAAAAAGAGGAAAAGAAAAGAAAAAAAGATAAAAAAAGAAAAAAGTGGGAAATTTTTAGATCTTCCTTTCTCTTGGCTGCGGGTCAGGTTTGTTAGGGTACTTTATTGCCATATCTTGATTTCTTTTTGGTTCCAAGTTGTTTAAATATTCTTTTCCCTTTTAATGTAGCATGATTTTCATCTTCTCTTGTTTCAAAAAAAGGCTTAATTGTGACCAGTCTGTCACTTTCTAATTCTATTTCTTTATATTCTTTTTTTATTATGTATCATTATTATTATTTTGATACATTATTTGTTATTAATAAAGTATAT